AAACGCAATGTTTGCATAGCACGTACTACCACTGAGCTACAAGAAGCTTTACTGTATTGTTAATTTATTATTCCATTTTATTTTTAAGAATATCAATACCTACTATAATTGATGAAAACCGAATTTGTATTTGATTTTGTTCTTTTTTAAACGCTGGTTTCGTTTTATTTTAAGAGTAACGGAGTTACAAAATATAAAAAATATTAATGGACTAATTCTTACATGCAGGTACTTCTAGTATTTATTATAATGCAACAACTTGTTAAAACTGTTTTTCCAAAAGGAATTTTGTTGTTGGTATGAAATCCTTTTAAGATTCGACAAGTTAGTATTTATTAATAAGACAATATAGAATATAGCCCATAAAAAGTTAATAACAATCTTAATCGAATGTTATCAGCTACTGTCTACACTGTTTTGATTTGTATAATCCGACAAAAAATTCATTCCAGTTAATTGTATGTTATTGATAATTATAATTATACAATTATTAAGCTTGATGATAAATAGTAAATTACCTATTACTAATAGGCCAATTTGTAAAAATTACAACCGACGATAAACATATCTAATTATTTTTAGTAACTTACCATTTCAGACTAAAATAATGCAAAAATGTAAATGTAACTGATACGAAAGCGGACTGATAACTTCCAAAAGTTCACTGATGCGTTGTTTGCAAATGAAAGATATTTATACTAAGAGACAATTTGTTTTCGTCTTATTACCTAATTATCGTATTATTAAGATAATGGATCACTTATTGTCGCGGCTAAATCTTCTAATTTAATGATTCCAAGTGCTAATGAATACTGACGCAGGACCGTTTTATTTTTATGCTGAAATAATTGAGACAAATTTGCACCTGCTTTTGGTACAAGGAAAAATAAATTATCATTTAATATATCAAATATTTTGGTAGTATTTTCCATTATTATAGTGATCGAACTATTATTTTTTTTACTACTATTGAATTCTGACAAAAGCTTAATGTTATATATCATTTTGAAATTATCAGTAGTCAATAAGGTTTTTGTTTTTATATTAATGGAATCAGTTTCTTTATACAATATTCTTAAGTAAGTGGTTATTGTGTACTGACATTGACCATTGACATCAATTTTTTTTTTATTAAAATAGTGTAAAATGAAAAACACTTTATGTTGAAATATTATAATCTTTAATTTAAATGTTAATTAGACATTATAGAAACTCATATCTCAAGACCTTTTTGAGTCAACACCTTTAACCATTTGCTTATTACTCGCTAACTAGTGTACATATTTACTCGTTTAATAGTAATCGTATGTTTAGCAGTTAGCAAATTTAAGAACTGTAGGAACTAACGTAACTAATTTTATAATGTCTAAATTGTGTTCTGTTTTAAATTTTTTTTATAAGTCTATAAAGAATATTACACGAAAGTATATTACTAATTTCTTCTAAGACACGAAATTATCACGAAAAAAGTTTCAATCAACGGTGTAC